CTGTCCCTCCTGGCCCTGCCCTCGCTCCTCCTGGTGCTGCTGAGCTGGGCTGTGACCTCCGAGGGACAGCGACATCCCCATGAGGCTCAGGGCTCTCCTTGCTGCTCCATTTTTGGCTGCATTCCTGGCAAAAAAGGGCTGGGAAGGGCTGGGTTGCACCCCCAGCCAGGTTGGGGTGGCTGTGACAGGAGGGACCCTCAGGGCACAGAGCCCTCATGGGGAATTCCTGTCCTTTCCCTCCCAAGAAGTTCCAAAATAAACTAAAAATAAATAAACTCTGAAAATCTGTTTCCCTCACTCCTGGGGCAGTGGGACCACAGCCAAATTTCCTTGGAAATTTGCTTGGAAATTTTGCTTGGAAAGCAGCAGCAGGTGCCTTTTTGGGGTGCCCAGACCCACCCCCTACCCCGTGGGCGCAGCCAGTATGAGCAGAGTTTCCTGAAATTGGAAACTGGAAATTGGAAATTCCTGAAATTGGAGAGTTTTCCCCATTTTCTGCTCCCCAACCTCCCCCTTGGCCCTCCCCTCCATGCTGTTTTGATTTGGTTTGGAGCAAAGCAGCTGAAACAGTCAAAATCCGACCTCGGGTTTGTTCCAGCAGCCAGGCTCCACCTCTCCCTCGGGAATTGTTTTCCCCGGATCTCCTCAGGGTCGGGACCTGCCTGCTCAGGGATGGGCTGGGGGTGAAATCCAGGCCCCCCTGCAGGGGCTGGGGGCTCAGACTGGGAGGATTATCCCGAGCCCAATCCCTGCTTTTCTCCATGCTCGGGTTATCCCAGCTGCAGAGCAGAGATAACTCCAGGGCCAGGTGCAGGGATGTCCCCAGAGGGGCTCTGGTGGGCTGTGATAAATCCACAGAATCACAGAATCCCAGAATGATGAGGTTGGAAGAGACCTCTGAGATCATCCAGTCCAACCTGTGCCCCAACACCTCACCCAGACCATAGCACCAAGTGCCATGTCGAGGCTTTTTTTAAACACATCCAGAGATGGTGATTCCACCACCTCCCTGGGAAGAGCATTCCAGTGCTTTATTACTCTTTTGGTGAAAAATTTCTTCTTAATATCCAACCTATACCTTCCCTGACATAGCTGTGTCCTCTTCTGGTGGTTCAGGCATGGAGAATGCCCAGAACACCAACGAGCACCGGTCACAGACACGTTTTATGAAAAATCCTTTCCTTAGGATTTTTTCTCCTGAGAAGCTGAGAGGCCTCAGGGACAAAATGTAAACAATGGTTATCTGCTGCTGTGGGATGCAACAGGTGCATCTGTGATTGGTCTCATGTGGTTGTTTCTAATTAATGGCCAATCACAGTTTGGCTGTCTCGGACTCTGGTCAGACACAAAATTTTATTATCATTCCTTTCTATTCTTTTCAAGCTTTCTGATTAAATCCTTTCTTCTATTCTTTTAGTATAGTTTTAATGTAATATATATCATAAAATAATAAATCAAGCCTTCTGAAAGATGGAGTCAGATCCTCGTCTCTTCCCTCATCCTAAGACCCATCTGGACACCACAATCACCTGCACAGAGAGGCTGGGGAAGTTTTAAAAAATTTATTTATAAATAAAAAACATAAAATTAACCAGTAGTTTACATCAGTCACCAGAAAGAACATCCAAAAAAATATCAACAAAACCAACAAAAAAAAAAAAACCTGCAGAAAAATAATTCTCTTGTCCAGGCCGGGGCCTGGAGCGACACACCTGGAATGCGACGGGCACACACAGCGCGGTTGTGCAAAGGCAGCACGGCGAGGCCTCTGGAGATCACATCACAGAGCTGGGGGGGACACGGGGCCGGGGACACGCCTGGGGACAGGGACGGGGAAGGGATGGGGACAGGGATGGGGACAGGGACAGGGATGGGGACCACAGCGGGAATTGCCGGGACGGGCTCTGCTCCCTCCCCGCGGCTCCCGGCGGGGCTGTGCTGATCTGGGGGAGGCACAAAATCCCTGCCAGCCTCGCTGTGCCCCCGATCCTTCAGCTTTGCAAACATCCTTCAGCTGGGCAGGGCTGGGCATGGGCAGGGGCTGGGCACGGGCAGGGAATGGGACAGGGCAAGGGATGGGCAGGGGATGGGCAGGGATGGGACAGGGTAGGGGATGGGCAGGGATGGGCAGGGCTGGCCCCGAGGGGCACCCGCAGGAGCCTGAGGTTGGCTTTTCCATCGGGCCGGGGTGAGCAACGCTTGAGACGGTGCCAGGATGGGCTGGGCAGTGCCAAGTATGGCTGGGCAGTGCCAAGTATGGCTGGGCAGTGCCAGGACCAGCTGGTCAGTGCTAGGAGTGGCTGGGCAGTACCAGGAGTGGCTGGGCAGTGCCAGGTACGGCTGGGTAGTACTAGGCTCAGCTGGGCAGTGCCAGGTATGGCTGGGCAGTGCCAAGAAAGGCTGCGCAGTGCCAGACCAAGCTGGGCAGTGCCAGATCCAGCTGGTCAGTGCCAGGAGTGGCTGAGCAGTGCCAGGCCTGGCTGGGCAGGGCCAGGACCAGCTGGGCAGTGCCGGGAGTGGCTGGGCAGTGCCAAGAAAGACTGGGCAGTGCCAGAACTGTCTGGGCAGTGCCAGGACTGGCTGGGCAGTACTAGACTCAGCTGGGCAGTGCCAGGTATGGCTGGGCAGTGCCAAGAAAGGCTGCGCAGTGCCAGGAGTGGCTGGGCAGTGCTGGGTACGGCTGGGTAGTACCAGGCTCAGCTGGACAGTGCCAGGACCAGCTGGACAGTGCCAGAACTGGATGGGCACTACCAGACCTGGCTGGGCAGAGCTAGGACTGGCCAGGCAGTGCCAAGAAAGGCTGGGCAGTGCCAAGCCCGGCTGGGCAGTGCCAGGACTGTCTGGGTAGTGCCAGGTATGGCTGGGCAGTACTAGGCTCATCTGGGCAGTGCCAGCATCAGCTGCTCAGTGCCAGGCCCAACTAGGCAATGACAGACTCAGCTGGTCAGTGCCAGATGCAGCTGGGCAGTGCCAGAACCAGCTGGTCAGTGCTAGGAGTGGCTGGGCAGTGCCAAGACTGGATGGGCAGTGCCAGGACTGGCTGGGCAGTACTAGGCTCAACTGGGCGGTGCCAGGAGTGGCTGGGCGGTGTCAGGACTGGGTGGGCACTACCAGACCTGGCTGGGCAGTGCCAGGAGTGGCTGGGCAGTGCCAGACCCAGCTGGGCAGCACTAGGCTCAGCTGGACAGTGCCAGGAGCAACTAGGCAATGCCAGGACTGGCTGGGCAGTGCCAGACCTGGCTGGACATTTCCAGGACCAGATGGGCAGTGCCAAGAAAGGCTGGGCAGTGCCAGAACTGGCTGGGCAGTGCCAGAACATGCTGGACAGTGCCAGACGCAGCTGGACAGTGCCAGGACCAGCTGGTCAGTGCTAGGAGTGGCTGGGCAGTGGCAGACCAGCTGGGCAAAGCCAGGACTGGTCAGGCAGTACCAAGAAAGGCTGGGCAGTGCCAGGACTGGGTGGGCACTACCAGACCTGGCTGGGCAGTGCCAGGTATGGCTGGTTAGTACCAGGACTGGCTGGGCAGTGCCAAGAAAGGCTGGGCAGTGCCAGGACTGGGTGGGCAGTACCAGCCAGGAGAGCTGGGGCAGTGGTTTGGGGTGCTCAGGGCCGTTTGCAGAAGGCACAGACTGGTTCCTGTGTGTCACCTTTCCAGGCTGCAGTGGCGCGAGGGACGCGGAATTTCGCACAGCTCGGAGCCCGTGGCCGAATTGGCGGCGTTGGGATCGCGCAAGAACCTCCCCCAAGAGCCCTGGAATGGGGCAGTGGGTAAATAATTGCAGCAAAAATATCATTGCACTGGCACAGAGGGGTCCCCTGCGGGGGGGATCCTGCTGGTTCCCTCCCCAGCCAGGGGGACACCAGGGTCACCAGCAGGGCCACCTCGGTGTCTGTGGAGCCACTCGCTGGCGGCAGGAGGAGCTTTTAAGAGCTGGGGTAGAAATTAAGGTGGCAGTGGTTGGTTTGGGGTGTTTAACCAGCTCCCCTGGGCCGGATCCTGCGGGATCAGGGCACGCGAGGAGATAAGGCAGCCGGGAGGGACAGCCCCAGCGAGTGCAGGGGCTCTGAGGTGAACACAAACCCCAATCCCTGCTCAGAAGGTGGCTGGGACATTCCTGTGAATCCTCAGATCCAGCTGCTGCCTGGCAGCCGGGAGAAGGGACGGGGTCCTTGTCTGTGGGAGCTGGAAATGCCAGAGGGAGGGCTGTGGGTGCTGTGGGTGCAGTGCAGGGGGTTGCGCTTGGACTGAATGGGGAGTTCAGGGTGATCTCATGGTGATTTCAGGGTGATTTTGGGATGATTTTGGGGTGATTTCAGTGAGTTGGGCCGTACTGGGGGCTGTGAGCAGCTTGGAACGTTCCTGAGGCCCTCATGGGCTGGCAGGGGTGGATGTGGCAGTGGCAGGAGGTGGCTCTGTGCTCCCACAGTGCCGAAGGAGGGTGAGGAGGAGTGGGAGCTTCCTCCAGGGATCTGGGGCTGATTCCTGCCACTGTCAGTGGGCAGGACTGTGCTGTGCCATCCTTGGAGCTGGGCACACACTGGGCTGATTCCTGTCATGGGCAGTGGTCAGAACTGTGCTGTGCCATCCCTGGAGGTGCCCTCCCTTGAACTGTGCCATTCCCAGAGCTGGGCACACATTGGGGCTGATTCCTGCCACCATCAGTGGGCAGGACTGTGCTGTGCCATCCTTGGAGATGGGCACACACTGGGGCTGATTCCGGGGCACAAACTGGGGCTGGTTCCTGCCCACCATGGGCAGGATGATACTGTGCCGTCCTTGGAGTTGGGCACACACTGGGGCTGATTCCTGCCACCATCAGCGGGCAGGATGGTGCTGTGACATCCTTGGAGCTGGGCACAAATTTGGGCTGGTTCCTGCCACGGGCAGTGGGCAGGACAGTGCTGTGCCATCCCCGGAGCTGTGCCATCCCTGGAATTGGGCACAAATTTGGGCTGATTTCTGCCACCATCAGCGGGCAGGACTGTGCTGTGCCACCACTTGAGCTGTGCCATCCCTGGAGCAGGGTCAGGCTGTGTCCCCCCAGCCTGGAGCAGAGCATCCCCTGGGCGCTGGGCACGGATGGCAGAGAATTCCCTGGAGTCCTGATCCCTGCCCGGGGGCAGAGGGGGCAGTGCCAGGCTGGGGGAGCTGCGAGCACGTCACCGTTGGCACGAGTGGCTTGGTCACCTCTGGAACACGACGGGCGGCGCAAGGACAGGGGGACACTGCACGACGGGGAGGGGACAGCTCCCCTGGTGACTCAGATCTCGGTGGCGATGATGTCCTCGTAGGGGACGTCGGTGCCGCCGGGGATCTCCAGCTCGATGGGCTCCTTGCCATCCTCGCCCGCCGCCAGCTGCTGCAGCATCTTCTCCAGGCTCTGGTTCCTCTTGTACATGTGCAGGTAGCTCTGCTGCAGCTGCTTCTGGTAGTGGATCACCTTCTCCTTCTCCTCCTTCCACGTCTGCCGCTCGTGCTGGAAGCTGCAGCTCATCTGCTCGTTGCTGTCGCGTTCTGCCTTCAGCTCGGCCCGCAGCCGCTCCAGCTGCCCCTGCAGGGCCTGGGCATCGTCCCCGCCCGGCCTGGGGAGCCCCTGGAGCTGCTCCCGCAGCACGGCCAGCTCGGAGCGCAGCTCCAGGATCTCCTGCTCCAGCAGGTTCACCTTCTCGCGCAGCAGCTCCGACTCGTTCTTCTTGCGCTGCAGCTCGTTCTCGCACACCTCCAGCTCCATGGCCTTGGTGCGCAGCGACACCTCCAGCTCCTGGCTCTTCATCTCCAGCCCCTCCATCTTCAGCCTCACCTCCTTCAGCTGCGCCTTCAGGCTCAGGATCTCCGTGGTCTTGGTGGTGAGCTCGGTCTGAGACTCCTTCAGCTGCTGCTTCAGCAGTGAGATCTCGCCGGATTTCTGGCACACCTGGAGGGGGAACACCTGAGTTAGGGCTGGAGCAGGGTCAGGGGGAAGCTGCTGGGTTTGGAAATTAAAGGATCCAAATCCTTCGGTGAACACCTGAGTTAGGGCTGGACCAGGACTCAGGGGGAAGCTGCTGGCTAAAACTGATGGGTTTGAAAATCGAAGGATCCAAATCCTTCAGGGAACACCTGAGTTACGGCAGGACCACAGGGAAAGGCCAGGGGACACCGTGTGTGTCGCTCTAAGACATAAAATAAAACCACACTCATGCTGGAACCTCCAAGGTAGAAAGAAGGGCAGTTTAATTTCTGACTCTAACATTTATAGACTTTCAAAAGTGACAGTGGATTGGAGGATGACAGTGCCGCCTCTCCAATGACACCGGACAAACCAACAGTCTATTAAATTTCTCTTCCTCTAGAAAAGAATGTAAACCAATAATTATTTACAGAAAAGTGTGTGGGAAGGTTTGTTACAAGAATGTAAACATCAGAAGAACTTAGAAGAACAGGGTGACACGTGTGAGCCAGTCACAACTGGGGTGCAGCACGTGGAGACCCCGAATTTAACTTTTTTACCATTATTTTTAGAATTCTAATTTAATTACAATTATAATTTATAATTAATACTACATTAAATAATACTGCATATTTTTAATATAGTATGAATTATAAATATTAATATTATATATGAAACAATAATATTATATTATTATATATTTAATTGTATATTATTAATTTATATATTGTAAATATATTGTGTATATATAGTATGTATATTGTATATATATTTATATTGTATATTTATAATTTATTAATATATTAATTTAATTGTATATTATTAATTGTATATATATTTAATTGTATAAAAATGTTACTATTATATATTGTATATATTAGATACTAATTTATAATTACCTCTTCCTAAACATCAGAATTTCCAGAAGATTAATGGTGTTTGCTCAGCAATACCAAGGAGTGAGTAAATTAAGCTTAAGCAGAGAGTGGAAGGTTTTACTGCTCCCTAACAAATGGCAAGCCCAAGGAGTTCCTATTTCCTTGTGGCAAGGCAGTTTTACAGCTCCTGTGGGGCAGGAAAACCCGAGCTGGAGGCCGGGAATGCTGAGTTAATTCAATGCCTGAGGGGGTTTGTGCTGTGCTCGTTCCCTTGGGCGAGGGGAAGGGTTCAGGGGGGCAGTGAGAGCCTCAGTCCCACTGCCAGGGGGTTCTGCTGAGATTCACATCCATTTCCTATGGGATGGGATGGGATGGGATGGGATGGGATGGGATGGGATGGGATGGGGGGTTTGGAGCTCTCCTTGATGTCCCTTTGCCTCTCACCTCCCACTGCGTCTCCTCCAGCGCCGGGGCAAAGCTGGTCTTCTCCTTCTCGTAGGACCTCAGCTTGGTCTCCAGCAGGTTCTGCTCCTTCATGAGTTTCTCCAGCTCCTCCCGCAGCTGCTGCTTCTCCTGCTGCAGCTGGAACACCTGCAGGTGCAGCACCTGCTGCGTCCGCTGCGTTTTCTGCGAGGTTTGCTTGAGTTTGCTGTTGCACTTCTGCTTCAGCCCCTCCAGCTCCTCCTTGCAGCGCCGCTGTTTCTCCTCGTAGGCCTGGCAGGAGCTGATTTCCTTCTCCTCGAAGCTCGACTGCAGCTCCTGCAGCTCGCCCTCCCTCTCCAGCAGCTTCTGCTCCAGCTCCTGGATGGTGGATTCATCCGTGGCGATGGGCGAGCGCATGCAGGCGCTCTTCTCGGCGGCGGCGCGGTGCTGGGGCGCCTTGCCGGGGTTCAGGATCTTGTTGCCACCATCAGAGAAGGACATGGCCTTGAGGCTCATCATGTTGCTGTCCTGGATGATGGCACACTGCAGGATGTTGTGGGCAGAGCCCCCGAAGCGGCTGATGGGGCCCATGGGGGTGACCAGCGGCTCCAGCTGGTAGCTGCTGCTGGTGCTGTGCGTGGGCAGGCTGGACATGGAGTTGCGGCCGGAGTCAGACAGGCCCCCCGAGCACGGCAGCGGCCGCAGCTCCTGCTCCTTGGCCTTCTCTGCGGGGTGCAGCTGCTGGGCCAGAGGCCCCCCGCTCTCGGGGGACGAGTGCAGGATGGCCCCGGAGCGCGGCAGCACCGGCTTGAAGGCCGTGGGACGAGGCAGCGGCTTTTCCCCGCCCTGCAGGGAGAGCACAGCCCATCAGCACCGAGGGAGCCCCGCGTGTGTCTTCCCACCCCACAGTCCCCCCAAGGCTCAGAGAGACTCAGGGGAAGCTGCTGGCTACAACTGCTGGGTTTGGAAATTAAAGGATCCGAATCCTTCAGGCTGTGTTGCTGATCCAAACTCCCGAAAGGTGAGGTGGCAGAGCTGCCCCTGCTCTCCCTGAGCTTCCTCAGCGACCACAACCAACACAACCCCGTGGTGGCACCTGACAGTGTGTAGGGGGATAAAATATAAGTAAATAAAGTGGTATAGAATGTAATCTTACCCCCTAAAGAGCTGCAGCTGAGCCAATAATTAAGGATTAGGAACAGGCCTGATGTTAACAGGCCACAGCTGTAGCCAATAAGAAGAGTGTTATAAAAGAGTGGATTGATTGGTTGAGGGGGCTGGAGTCAGTTGGCTGCTGAGAGGACAAGGAAGAGTCAGCGCCTAGAGGAGCTCCCTACAAGAAACATCAAGGAGGTGCGAAACTCTGGCGACATGGAACCCTTGCAATGTACTGACAATAGAACTCTAGTAATAGAGTGATAACAAATGGTGATCCCGACGTGATTCAGGAAAAAGGACTTGATTATATGATCCCATGGATTCAGGAACCTCTTGGATTCGGGACTAAACTATATGACCCCTGGATTCGGGGAAAAGGACTCAACTATATGACCCTGAGGATTTGGGGAAAGAGGATTCGACTATTTGGCCCCGTGGATTTGGGGAAAAGGACTTGAATGCTAAACTATTGGTAAAATATATCAATCGCAGCTATTAATGTTTTTTAAATATGAGTATAAAAGATTTTGAAGATAAGTACTTTTTCCCCACTCACCACTTCCAGCTGGCTGGGGAAGGGCATCAACTTCTGCGGCGTGGGCGTCCCGAAGTCCAGCGAGCCGCTCCCGGCGGGCACGGCCAGCTCGCCGCCGCCCAGCGCGGTGTAGTCCGGCCGCTGAGCGCCGTGCGCCTTCTGGCTGACCTTGATGTAAAAGAAATCCTCATTCTTGCTGCTCTTGGAGCCGGACTTGTGGCCGGAGTCCTGCGAGAAGCCGAAGCGGAGCAGCCCGTCCGAGTAGCGGTTGAGCTTCTTCAGGTGCGAGGACTTGCGGAGCTTGTACTGGGAGGCGCGGCAGTGCTTGCTGTGGAAGCTGTGGCCGGAGATGAGGCTGCTGACGCTGCCCATGCTGCTCCCAGCGCCGCCAGATCATAGCAGAGCCCGCGGTGCGGCCGGGAGCGCCGAGCCTGGGGACACAGGGACACGGTGTGAGCCAGGAGAGGACACCCGGGTGTGGCAGAGCTCCCCGCTTTGGGGGTTGAGTGTTAAAAATCGGTTAGAAAGTGTAAAATAGTTGATAGATTGTTAAGCATGTGCTGTTAGTTTGGTTACAAAGTGTTGGAACCCAGGACATTGCTCTGGCTGCTCTGGAGGACTCAAGACCCTGGCAAGGGGCTTAGAGACATTGGCACGGAGTCAAAAACACCTGTGCCTTTGATTTTAGCCCATTGTCGCAGACATCTTTTATGAAAAATCTTTTCTTTAAGATTTTTCCTCCTGAGAAGCTGAGAGGCCTCAAGAACAAAATGTAAACAACAATTATCTGCTATCCCAACAGACTCCCGCATCTCCTGCCCGTTCCTGGCCAGATCCCAGCTCCACAGCCTCTCCCGCATCCCTCTCCACTTCTCAGCGCTCCTCTTAACCTGCCTGAAAAGGGGCACCGCGAGCCTTAATTAGCATTAGGCTTAATTAGCGTTAATGGCTGTGTGGCACTCGAGGGGAGTGCTGAGCGCTGCCATCAGAGGCACGCGGGGCTCCTCCGCTTTGTTGTGAGGGGAAAAATGTAAATAAAATAAACCCCCAGCTCCTGGTGGCCTCCACGACACTCAGCTCTAATGGGGACGCGGATCCAGCTCGGTAATTAGTGGTAAGAAGAGGGGAAAGCACGTAAATAAAATTATCAGGGTGCTGTTTGCACTGGAGGAGGAGGGAGAGAAGGTTTCTGCTCCGTGCAGTGTTTGAGCAGCTCAGAGCTCCCACTGCGTGCTCCAACCCTCTCCAGAGCTCCCCAGGCCGAGTTCTGGTGTTCCAAGCTGGAATCTGGGGGTGGGAGAGGGTTGGGTGGTGGAGGGGGTGCAGGAAGGCTGTGCCAGGGCCCCCTCACTGCCCTGTCCTCAATCCCAGAGTCGGGCCTCTGTTTTCCCACTCCTCTTTTCCCATTCCTCTCTTTTCCCTTTCCTGTTTTCCCACTCCTCTCTTTCCCCCTCCTCTCTTTTCCCACCCCTCTTTTCCTATTCCTCTTTCTCCCCTTCTCTGTTTTCCCACCCCTCTATTCCTATTCCTGTTTTCCCACTCCCCTCTTTTCCCACTCCTATTCCTATTCCTATTCCTATTCCTATTCCCGTTTCCCACCCCTCTCTTCCCACTCCTCTCTTTTCCCATTCCTGTTTTCCCCTTCCTCTCTTTTCCCACTCTTCTCTTTTCCCACTCCCCTTGTCCCACTCCTGGCCACTCCCTGCATCACCACTCTCCTCCCTCCCTTTATTTCTTTTCCTCTCCCCGTGCCCGAGGCCCGGGATGGCTGAAGGGCAGAGGGAGGACAGACAGACTGCCGGCCTAATCCCCAAATCCATTTCTGGCAGATTAAGAGAGGCGAGAAAGGCCCGAGCGGCTGCCGGGGCGCTGCTGATACGGGACAAGCAGGGGAGGGATCGCTGCGGGGACGCGACAATTGTCCCCACAATTGTCCTCACATTTGTCCCCATAATTGTCCCCACAATTCTCCCTATAATTGTCCCCGCAATTGTCCCCACACAGCCCATGCCGGTGCCTGCAGGGTGCGGATGACAGGGTGACAATGACAGAAACAGGTGCCACCTGTCCCCAGGCAGCGCCCAGCTCAGTCCCGGGCTGTGACATTTATTTTCCATCCAGAGGGGTTTACACGCACCCACAGCCCGTCCCTATACATTTATTTTTCACATAGGGGGGTTACACACACCCACAGCCCATCCCTATATATTTTCTTTCTCCCAGGGGCATTTACACTCACCTACAGCCTGTCCCTATACATTTATTTTCCACCTGAGGGGGTTTACACTCACCCACAGCCGTCCTATACATTTCTTTTACCCCCAGGGGGATTTACACTCACCTACCTCCCATACCTATACATTTATTTTCCACCCAGATGGGTTTACACACACCCACAGCCCGTCCCTATAGTCCCTATACATTCATTTTCCACCCAGGGATGATACACGCACCCACAGCCCCTCCTTGTACATTTATTTTTCTCCTGGGGGGCTTTACACGCACCCACAGCCCATTCCTATCCATTCATTTTCCTACTGGGGAGGTTTACATGCACGCATAGCCCATTCCTATACATTCATTTTCCCCCTAGAGGGTTTACACTCACCTACACCCCATCCCTATATATTTATTTTCCACATGGGGGAGTTTACTCTCACCTACAGCCCATCCCTATACATTTATTATCCCCCCAGAGGGGTTTACACGCACCCACAGCCCCTCCTTGTACATTTATTTTCCACACACAGGGGGGTTTACATGCACCCACAGCCCATCCCTGTACACTGATTTTTCCTCCAGAGGGGTTTCACACGCACCCACAGCCCCTCCTTGTACATTTGAGCCCCTAGAGAGGTCGGATTTTCTCGCTGCCCCCTCGGGCAGATCCCCTGTGGATTTTTGGGTGCCTGTGGGAGATGGGAGAAGCGAGGAGGCAGCGCTGGGACTCTCCAGCCTCTTTCCTCCTCTGGCAGGAGGCGTTTCCATCCACCCCAGCCTTCCCACGCACACCCCACAGGGTTGGGCACGTTCTTCTTCTCCTTCCCTCTTAAAAAGTGCTTTGAAAGCCATGGGGGAGTCAGAATTCAGGGGAACGACGGCAAAAAGAGGAGGCAGCAGGGCTGGGAGGCCACAGGAGCTCGAGGAGGAGTCAGAGCTGTCCCATTTCCCTGTTCAGCGCCTTCCCTGGGATCCAGAGGGGTTTGCTGAGCCACCAAACCCCGGCACTGAGCACATTGAGGACGTTCACACACAAAAACTGCGAGGAAAAATCAGGGCTGGGTTTAAGGGGGTATGGATGGGTCAGAGCAGGGGTCATGTGAAGTGTAAAAGGGAAAAAAAAATGTAAATAATAAATTTAAAAATGTAAATAAAAAGAAATAAAAATAAATAAACAATAGATAAATAAATAAGCAAACAATAATAAATAAATAAATAAATGTGAATAAAAAGAAATAAAAAATAAATAACAAAAATATATTTTAAAATAAATAAATAATAAAATAGATGCAAATATAAATTTAATAAATAAAAATAAAAAAATAAGAGATAAATAATAAAAACAATTTAAAATAAATAAATAATAAAAATGTAAATAAAAATAAATAGATAAAATAAAACTAAAAACATTTTAAAATAAATAAATAACCAATAAAAATAAATGTAAATAAAAATAAAGAAAGAAATAATAAATAAAGGAATAATAAAAATATAATTATAAATAAATAAATAATTTTAAAATATATGTAAATAAAAAATAAATGCTGAGAGTGAAAGTGGGGATGTCCCGTGGGCAGCTGTGGGAGCACAGCTGGAGAGGAGGAGCACAGCTGGAGAGAGGGATCACAGCTGAGGAGAGGAAGCACAGCTGGAAAAAGGGAGCACAGCTGGAGAGCACTGGGGCCTGGGGGTGCGACACGGCCAGAGGTCACAAAACCACAGAATTCAAATTAAATCTAATTTTTAAAATTCAAATTAATTTTTAAAATTCAAATTCAAATAAAAATCTTAAAATTAAAAAGACCTTGGGGACCGAGTCCAAGTTGTAAAAGGGAGAGGGGTGACAGGACCTGCGGGTGGAGTCACGATGTCCTCGGTGATGTCACCGATTAGGTCATTACCCCGATCAATTAGCTCAATTAGCTCTATTAGCGAGCACAGAGAGCCACAGAAGGCTCCAGCGTGTCCCTGTCGCTCTGTGCCCGCAGCAAACGAACCTTTCCAGGATCTTTTGGCACGAACCCCGTGTCCCCTCCCCGAGCAGCTCCGTGACCCTTCCAGCTCCCCCTGGATCAGGGAATTCCACAATGGAGATCACTCCTGGGAGCGTGGGGGTCCTGGGGGGGCTGATCCCCACAAACAGCGCGGGCTGAACCCCGGGAATGGGGGAAAACACGTGGATTCACCCACTCGGGCTTGTGCCGAGAGAACGGGGATAAAGAATGAATGGCATCTCATCAGCGCAGTCATGCCTACCCCGCACGTGGGAGCGCCGATCTCCCCCCCGCAATCCAGCCTTATCTCCCTCAATCTTATCTCCCGCAGCCTTTGAAGCTTTCCCCCCTTTCCCTGCTCCTTCCCGAGCAGGTTTCCCCGGCAGGAGCCGCGGTTTTGCTGCTCCGCTCCCTGCCGATCCTGTTCTTCCCCCCTCTCGCTCCATCTCTGGAATGCCAGCGCTTCCTTCTCGCCCCCGCCCCCGCCTTTTCTCCCTCCTGGATTATTATTCATCCTCGCCGTGCAGATGCTCCCACACATTTGGGTGTTTGTTGGGAGATGCTGGGATGGCACGGAGCAGCTGGGGCTCGGCCTGAGCCTTCCTCTTCCTCTCCAGCACTGCCAGGTGCTGTGCCCCTGTTATGAGCGCTGTGTTTATTTCACTCCTGTCCCACCCGGCCATCTGGGCCTTGGGGCACAGGGAATGTGGCCCTGAGGTAAAAATCTCGAAATTTCCATGGTGGAAAGTGCTACCTGAGCACCTGAGGTGGGATTTAGTGAAGGGAATGGCCCAGAGCAGAGCTTGGAGGGCAGATTTGCACTGAGCTGGGCCTGGGAGCTGCAGCAAACCCAGATTGAGCCTCCAGGACCCCCAAATGCTGCTGAATTCCCTGGAAGCTGCACCAAACCCAGACTGAGCCTCCAGGACCCCCAAACGCCTCTGAACCCCCTGGGTTGAGGAGATGAAGCTGCCCTGGGCTGTGTGAGAGCATCTGCCAGGCCCAGCTCCAGCTCCTGCTGCTCTGCCCATGCCCAGCTGGGGCCAGGCTCCCCAAACCCTGCTCTTTTAGCCCTCCAAAACTTGCTCTTTTCTTCTCTCCAAACCCTGCTGGTTTTGCTCCCAAACTCTCCTAGTTTTACTCTCAAACCCCTGCTTTTTAAGCCCTTCAAATTCTGCTCTTTTCCCCCTCCCAACCCTGCTCTTTTTGCCCTCCAA